CCACTATCAGAATAAACAAATAGTGACTGCAGCTGATTGGATGCAGTCACTCTTCGACTGAGAATTTTCTGATCAAAGGATGATGGGTGGGATTCTGCTGACAGGGCCCCCCAATGAGTACATTTCAGCTAGTTCTTCAAGAAGCTGGCCAAATTTCACGCAGTGTTCAGGGGCGTATTTACCGCAAGGCAAACAAGGCGTTTGCCTAGGGCGGCACCTTGCTGGGGGGCAGAAGTAGTCAAACGCCTTGTTCTACGGTGTGGAAAGTGGGGGAGAGCGGGAGCCCGTTTTTGTTTGGGGGTGGAGGGCGGCCTGCCTGCTTGTGCTTGTGAAGAGGGTGGGAGGGCGGGAGTCCGACAGCGTAGACGATGGTAAGGTACCGACCCGAAGATTGAAGATCAGCCGGCGGCCACTGAAACAATCCTACTGCAGCGGGCGAACAGCGGCTCTGTGACCCAGGAAGTGGCGAGGTGATTGGATCGGCGTCACGAGTGCAGGTCAGCCGGGAGCAGAGGGGGGGCTGTTGGGGGCGGCCGAAGCGAGTCTTGCCTGGGGCAGCGAAAAAAACCGCTGCCGTACACACGGTTATTCCATTCAAACATTGGAGGTCAACACATTCAACGAGCAATAACAAAGCATCAAAAACCTTTCTTAAAGCCTTTATAACCCAACCAGGCAACCTAAAAAAATTGTGGCCCCCAGGAGGTGTTTAGAAACAGCTCTGGCTTAATACTCACCTCCTCTCTGGAACTGTCCCTAGCAGGGACTCATTTCCACCACTAGATGTCCCCAGTCATGTGGGCCAAATGATGGCCTTTGAAAGATTTACCCCAGCAATGTTTTGCTCTAATTCCTGAGCCTCACCCAGCCATCCTTCCATACCAACAGCACGGCATGGAGGGGCTCGGTGAAGGTGGAGGTGAAGGTGTGGAGGTGTCTGATGGGATCACACAGCTGGTAGAAGGACAGACGGCCCTTCTCATAATCCAGATATACCCCCAATTTCTGTAGAGGAGAATCCACGTCTAACTTGACTTCTTTTGCGTTGTGAGACACCAGATAATCTTTCTGACACAAGCGTAAACACCAAGATTTGTTGTTTTGCCCGATGCCGGACGCATCCCCTTTCCGTTCCATGCTGGGATAGGCCACCCCAGCCCTCCAGTTCCCAAGTTCACTGGTCTCTATGGCCCAGTAATGTTTCCCCGAGCTGAAGGTCTGAAAGCTCAACACTTGGCAATAATTCTTGAACCGGCGTGGCGTTTTGGCCCACAGCGTCGTCTTTGACCAGGTCGCGCTTTTCAGGTCCCCCGAAATGGCCACATCGACTGCCGCCGTGTTTGCGTCCAATAGCATATCTTGAACGCTGAACCCTTTTTTTGTATTGGTCACAATATTGGACAAGGACGAGCTTAAGGTCAGCGAGATGGACACTTCATCCAGATCGTCTATGACCTGGACCTTTTTGTCGTGCCCCTCATCAAAATCGGCCCTGCCGAACTCCCTTCCTTGTAGGACGGTGAGTGGGTCAGCCATCTTGCACAGTTCCTCGGTGTGGGACATCTTCCTTAGCAGATCTTCTTTCTTTATTTCCAGCTGCTGAATGAGATCTGAGACTGACAGTGAAACTTTATCTTTCTGCCTGGAGATGTCGGTCAGGATCCGCTCCTCCAAAATCTTGAGTTGCTCTCGGAGGTCTATGAACAGGGCTGTAACTTGGGCCGTGACCGTAGATGCTCTTTCTTGCACCTCTGCCTTGTGATCTTGTAGGTTCTGGACGCTCTTCTCCGTCTCTTCTCTCTTTGAAGTCAACTTCTCCAGAACCTTCCTAAGTCTGTCTTTCTTCTTCTCCGAGGCTTCCTTCAGAAGCTCCACATGGTGCCCCCGATGTTCCCCAAAAACACAACAGGAAACACAGATACATCTAGCATCCTTGCAACAGTAATATTTCAGGATCTCCTTGTGAGTTGGACATTTCCGGCTTTCGATGGAACTGGTGGGCTCGGTCAAGACATGATCCGTGGAGTTGCTGTGCACGCTTAGGTGAACTTCGCACAAGGAAGCCTCGCACATGAGACACGTTTTCACCGCCGGGACGGAAGAGTGGACGCAGTAGGTGCAATAGATGCCGGCTTTCTTCTGCTCGGGTTTGGTCAGTCGGAAATGCTCCACTATGTTACAAAGCTTCGTGTTGCGTTGCAAGGGGGGACGCTTGGGGTACTCGGCTCGGCATTCTGGACAGGTGTAGGCTTTGGACCCCGCTTGAGTATCCAGCACGGACCTGATGCAGCCCTGGCAGAAGCTGTGTCCACACCGCAGGGTTACAGGCTCCGTGTAGAACTGGAGGCAGATCGAGCAGTTGAGCTCGTCTTTAAGGTTGGCGGACGCCATTGTAGCTGGGAGAAGAGAAGCAGAAGGTAGAGGGAATTCAGGTTCTTAGCTTGTCACGGACATGTAGTGTTCAGGCTGCAGCTTCCCGGGTATATCAGCTGTTCAGTCCAGTCACTGCACCGAGCTCACACTTGTAATGTGTCCTGAGAATCTAATGTGTCAGCTCTGACCTATCCTCCCCGGCTGCACTGTACACAAGCTGGATGAGGCCAAGTTTAAGGGGGAACACCAATAAAAACACAAAGACTCCAGTTATTCTGGACACGGCTTGTCCATATTAGTTTTCTCAAACTGATCTAGAATTTTGCTGGCATGATGATAGGAAGTTATTTAAGGTAGACAAAGCTGAGTAGTAACATACAGTATAGTTTAACAATAGCTTTACCATTTCTGTGGTGATTATATATATTTACATGTATTTGGAGTACTTTAAATCCTGACCAATGGACATTTTTGTTCTTTTGATCAAATATAAAAAATCAGCTCAGGCTGCAATATTTACTTTCAATCTCGAGATGCCCCCAAAGTACTTGTTCACCACAAGATGTACTCAGTCTTCTGGATTGAATGATACTGTTATGGTACTCTCATAATCCCTGCCAGAACTTCCAATGGTGCTCAGAATCCATGCCAGGACTTCCAAAGCTGCTCCCAGAATCCCTGCCAGGACTTCCAACGGTGCTCTCAGAATCCCTTCCAGAACTTCCAATGGTGCTCTCAGAATCCCTACCAGGACTTCCAATGGTGCTCCTCGAATCCCTGCCAGGACTTCCAACGGTGCTCTCAGAATCCCTTCCAGAACTTCCAATTGTGCTCTCATAATCCTTGCCAGAACTTCCATTGGTGCTCTCAGAATCCCTGCCAGAACTTCCAATGGTGCTCTCAGAATCCCTTCCAGAACTTCCAATTGTGCTCTCATAATCCTTGCCAGAACTTCCATTGGTGCTCTCAGAATCCCTGCCAGGACTTCCAATGGTGCTCTCATAATCCTTGCCAGAACTTCCAATGGTGCTCTCAGAATCCCTGCCAGGACTTCCAATGGTGCTCTCAGAATCCCTGCCAGGACTTCCAATTGTGCTCAGAATCCATGCAAGAACTTCCATTGGTGCTCTCAGAATCCATGCCAGAACTTCCAATGGTGCTCTCAGAGTCCTTGCCTGGATTTCCAATGGTGCTTTCAGAATCCCTGCCAGGACTTCCAAATAATCCTTGCCAGAACTTCCAATGGTGCTCTCAGAATCCCTGCCAGGACTTCCAATTGTGCTCAGAATCCATGCAAGAACTTCCATTGGTGCTCTCAGAATCCATGCCAGAACTTCCAATGGTGCTCTCAGAGTCCTTGCCTGGATTTCCAATGGTGCTTTCAGAATCCCTGCCAGGACTTCCAATGGTGCTCTTAAAATTGCTGCCAGAAGTTTCAATGGTGCTCTCAGAATCCCTGCAAAAATTTCCAATGGTGCTCTCAGAATCCCTGCCAGGACTTCCAATGGTGCTCTCAGAATCCCTGCCAGGGCTCCCAATGGTGCTTTCAGAATCCCTGCCAGAACTTCCAATGGTGCCCACAGAATCCCTGCCAGAACTTTCCCTGAAGCAACATTGGGCATGTCCTCTGACCAGGAGAGTATTTACACTACAACCCTAGAAGTGTCTGGTACTCTGTCTTCTTGCCAGTTACCCTGTTTGGTGCAACAGGGTAACTACTGATTGCCTGTTTAGTTGCTAACCTGGATTGACCTAACTGCCCTCTTTCCTGTTCAAGACCTTCACTTGAACCTGACCACCTTCTTGCCTACTGCCTGCAAATGACCTTTGCCTGGACCTGACCATTCTTTTGCCTGCTGCTTGCCCATGATCTCTGTTTAGCTCTAACTTGGTGGGGCAACCCAGAGGGCCGCAGTAAACCAGGACCACTATGGTTCTGGCCCGTCTCCGCCATCAGGAGCTCTGGTGTAGACCATTTCTCACTTAGACACCGTGGCTCGGGGGAACCTGTGTCACATGCCAGGGAACCCTATAACCAGCCCAGAAGTTACTATGAATACAAAGTGTAATGGCTCCACCAGCTGCAGGGGTGTCACCAACGGGCCCTTCATTCATACAGAAAGCAGCGCTCTCATCACATCAGAGCTGCTCTGTGCATTTCCGAGGACCATCCAGCACTGGCGAAAATTGGAAGAGGGCCTGGCGTGTCACATGATCAGCCACAAGACCTTGGAAAAAAGTGAGTACAAAATACCACTAGGGGGAGGGGGTTTCTTTGGAGGGGGAGGGGGGACACAAAACCCAGAGTTGGGCTTTAAACCTTACTGCTGTAATAATAATCATTTTTCTCCAACATGGCCCCTGAAGTCCCGAACATCAGAGAGTTCCATCTTGATTTTAGCTTTGAAGTCAACACATTGGCCCATCCCCTCGTCCCTCCCCAATCTCTCTATTGGTCAGTGAGGCTGCACATGGCATTGAGGGTCTAATAGTGAGGTGCAATGGGAGGGACATAATTTGTTTCCCATTACCAATAAATGTTGGGGTTTATATAATATATATATATTATTTGTTCCCCTTTGGTCTGTGAAATATCCCATTGGAAGGATTTTGTTACACATCAAGTGCAAAAAATACCTGTTGATCCCGCCAGAAATCCACTTCCTGTGCTCTCTGTTATCAGTGACATTGTTCCCAGCTCTCTTTGTGGTCCCTGCACTCATAGTCCCACTTTAAACTCTATGACAAGGCCACTGGAATCTAACCGCCGGGACTTGCAGTTCCTCCTCGCTGGCTCAAAGGAGTCAACCTGTCTGTGATTGACATCTGGAGTCCAGATCACCGTGTCAGCACGCTCGCAGGAGGACAGGCCAAGCGCAGGGATTGAATGACAGAGATATTTATAGCCAATAGTTGGGCTTTTAGACATTGGTGTTATAAATAGGTTGCTGTATGTACAGTAAAACATAAACAAATACTGAACTGAGGAAGGACACGGCTCAATACAAAAGAGAAGGCAAAATATAAGCCGCTTTACAGGGCTATTCACAAAAGGGTGAAGAGTTTGGAGAAGGCCGGAGAAGTGAACTCCTCTAGGACAACATAGCTGAACTGGGAAGTGATCTGAATTGGAGAATTTTTCCCAATCAGATATGTGGTCTTAGATCGTTCCCTTCTCCAAACTCCTCACCCTTGTGTGAATAACCCTGATAATGTTTAGCGTGTTATGATGATCGCCCGCCTCTAACATGTTTCACCCATACGGGCTTAGAATGTAAACCCTAATAACTGACATTTCGTCCCAGCAGGATGTATCATAAATCAGTCCCATGTTTTGTTTTCATCAAATACTTCCCCTTTTTTATCCTTTCTTGCATCTCTTTGCAGCCACTTCCTGTCTGCTAGACGTGTGCGATTCGCTTCGTTCCGAATCAAAATTCGGACAAATTTTCCGACATTCGGACGCATTCGAATATCCGAACCCCAATGCATCTGAATTTCCGTTTCCGGATCCCGTACCAATTTCGTTCAAAAACTAAACTGAATGGGACATGTGACTTTTCTGGCCAAGCAGATGTGTTTTTCGGTTTAATGCATCCGAATGGGTCTGAACATGAATTTTCGTTGCGGCAACATGGGAGCCATATACAGTCTATACTAAAGCTGAGGCTCCTAGACCCGAATGGTATTCAGGAACTCCCTTATGCAATTCGGAAATTGGGAACCCGAATGCCATTGGGGTCTGGGAGCCTCAGCTTTAGTAATATATGTATATGGCTAAAGGAATGGCTAAGGAATGGAGTTTCTGAATGCCATTCGGGTCTGGGAGCCATATACAGTATATATATTACTAAAGCTGAAGCTCCCAGACCCGAATGGCATTCAGAAACTCCATTCCTTAGCCATTCCTTTAGCCATATACATATATTACTAAAGCTGAGGCTCCCAGACCCAAATGGTATTCGGGAGCTCCTGAAAAGCAATTCGGAAATTCGGATCCCGAATGCCATTCGGGTCTAGGAGCAACTCCCAGACCCGAATGGCATGTGGGAGCATCCGAATGCTATTCAGAAATGCGGAACCCGAATGCCATTCTAGTCTCGGAGCCATATACATATACAGTATTACTAAAGCTGAGGCTCCCAGACCCGGATGGCATTGGGGACCTCCCCAATGCAATCCGGAAATTCGCATCCCAAATGCCATTGGGGTCTGGGAGCCTCAGCTTTAGTATTAATATCTGTATTTGGTTTTCTGTTTTACTCGCAACGAATATTCGTAAACTCATCCGAAACTAACGAAATTCGGATTTCGTCCGAATTCCAAACCTGAACCAAATTGAATTTCAGATCCGAATACTGAAATATCCGAACCAAACCAAATTTTTCCGCAGCTTACATGTCTACTGTCAGAATGCGCTTCAGCGATGGCTGCTTGGCAATTCCTAGGGCAGGTCTCCTTATGGTGACCACGGCGGACCATGACTGTGTAATGCGTGTTGAAATGGCATCTCTATTAGAAGCACCTGTGACATGGTGACAACACAGGAGCACAATAAGGAGACAGCCACAGAGTGTTGTCACCCTATAACAGGAAGTGCTGATTGTGCTGCAGGTTTACAGCTCAGGTGAGATTGTCGCGGTTGGGTTCACAGCGACTTTTAGTTTTCAGCGTTGTGGGTGGGTTGTAATAACATTCAACAAAAAAGCTCCAAAGTCCCCGTTTTCAAAGTCCATTTATTCTTTAAAATTCAGGCAGTGTCATAGTAGGAAACAACAATTCCAACACTCAAACCCCTGTTCGGTAATCCCATATAAGAAGGTCAGCCTACGGGTAGCCTAAGATGGCGCTAACACAGAATGATATGGGGGGAGGGGCACAGCACATTCACATGAACACCAAACATTTCACACGGGAATGCTTACATACGCACATACAATATATATGTATATAAATTATATATTACATATGTGTAAAGAGCGTCCATAGTCCCTTCACATCAACTAACCTACCTACTG